CCGACAAGGACATCATCCATCTTGTCCCTCTGTCAGTCAGTCCGGCAAGTCATGCTGGTGCGCGCGCATGTTGGAGATGGCCAGTCAAAGAAGGCTGAGTATAGTTCTCCATCCCTGGGGGTTCTGTTATTAAATCCTTCCAAGCCCAAGGAAAAATCCATCCGGCCGCATCTTCCCCAGATCCGTGAGACTTGCCGCCCATCCCGTACCACCAAGGTTGTCTGCCCGTCTGCCAGGCAGCCTCTCTGGACAACGAGCAGAAGGAGTCAGGTTAAGTTACGAACTACGGATTGAAGACGTGAGGTTGAGGCTGTCAAGTGTTGAACGCCTCCGAATGCGCCAAGTGTCCAGGATGGCTTTGATGCTGTGCAACCCGTCGTTGCTTTTTGCGCCAGATATATTTAGGGTCGAAGATCATGGCCGGCCTCGCTGCTGGGCGTGAAGATAGCGAATATAACTAAGTAATACAGACAGCCGGGACAGCGTTGGCTGGCGTTGAGTTTATCTGTGCATGGCGGCAGGACGACGGAGACGGAGATTCATCCGATAGTTAACTCTGCGAGAAGACTCTGGCCTGTTACGCATGTGCGACGTTCCATACGGAGTAGAAGCAGAAGAGAAGACGTCTTCGATCCTCCGATGGGCGTTTTTAAACTGCGTCCTGAGGCTGACCAGGCTGCTGTACTATTCGCGCACTATCGTAAATCCTGCGTCACTGCGCCAGAATTGTCTGCAACGGTGATCAGCCGCTTCTCTTTTGCTCGTCACAGACCGCATCTTCTGCCCAAGAGAGCCTAATAGATGAAGAACGCAGACAAGAAGAGAGGAGACGAGAAACAAGAAGAACAAGCAGAGTGTTGTCTGACGTCCATTGGCCTCTGACTGGCATGTCTGGCTCCCGCGACTCCTGCGACAGCGACGCCTTCATCCTCGACGACTTCGACTACCTCGGTGACGGCGACGGCGACGGCGACGGCGAGCGCGCGCGCGGCGACGGCTACCAACGAACCAACCGGTCACGATACGGCTACAGCTACAGCTACAGCTACCTGCTGGATGGCTCGACGGCCTGGTCGTCTCGAATATTGCGGCTGCTGCCCCCGCGATGGCGCCGGAAGTTTGCCGCCAGGCGACACAGCAAGCCGGCCTCGAGGCTGTCACCGTCAGGCACATATAGGAGGACCCTGCGATGGCTGGTGACGGCCAGCCTCTGTCTGACGGCTGCGGTGGCACTTCTCTGGCCCTCCTACACCCACCGGCCGGCACACTACAACGAGCTGAAGCGTCTTGCAGTCGGCAGTGAGACCCCCGGGCGAGGGAACCCGCGCAACGAAAAGGTCTTCATCACCGCCAACATATATGACCCGGACGGCAGCCTGGCACAGAGCCAATGGAGCAGGAGTATCCTGCAGCTGATAGACCTCCTGGGCCCGGAGAATTCGTATCTCAGCATCTATGAGAACGAAATGAACGAACAGGCACGGGGTGCGTTGCAGAGGATGGCAGACGAGACTCCGTGTAACCACTCCATGGTCACGGAGGAGCATCTCGACACGGCTGGGCTGCTACACATCACCCTGCCTGACGGGTCCAGGAGACTGAAGCGCATCTCCTTCCTGGCTGAAGTACGCAATCGTGCTCTGCGGCCAATCAATCAGGCTGGCATGCCGAGGTTTGACAAGATCCTCTACGTGAACGACGTCTTCTTCGATCCCGTCGATGCCCTCCAGCTGCTCCTTTCGACAAATCTGGCCGAGGACGGTGGTGCCACCCGCTACCGGGCTGCCTGTGCAGTCGACTTTATCAACCCGTTCAAATTCTACGATACTTTTGCCTCACGGGATCTGGAAGGATACTCTATGGGATTGCCGTTCTTCCCCTGGTTCACCACTGCGGGAAACGGGCAGAGCAGACGAGACGTACTCAGCCAAAGCGATGCTGTCCGTGTTCGCAGCTGCTGGGGAGGCATGGTTGCATTTGATGCAAAATATTTCCAGAACCAGCACCAGCACCAGCACCAGCACCAGCAACATAACACAACTCGATTCCGTGCTGAACCAGACCTCCTCTGGGAAGCATCCGAGTGTTGTCTTGTACACGCTGATATCCAGGACCCGCCCTCCGCTGGCGGAGAGCCCTCTGCTGATACAGGGATATACGTGAATCCCTATATCCGCGTTGCCTACTCCCCCTTTACCCTCTCCTGGCTAGGCGTTACCCGGCGGTTCGAGCGGCTCTTCTCACTGCCGCACGACATCATCAACCGCCTGGTAGGTATGCCATGGCACAACCCTCGCCGGACCGAGAAACCAGGCGATCTCATCGAGGAGCGCGCCTGGGTAGAAAATGAAAGGGGGGAAGGCTCCTATCAGACCGTCACCCGCGCTGCCGGCACTGGAGGCTTCTGCGGTAACCGAGCACTCCAGGTCATGAAGCCGCATCCCCAACCGGGCGAGAAGACGTGGGAACTCATATCCCCTGACATGTTTTGATATTCCATCCTTGATGAACTGGTCTCTTCTTTTTTCCCCTTGTTTTTGTATTGTATTTCTACATATCAGCCCGGAGTTGGAGGTTGGTCAAAAATATCCATTTCAACTTCTTTTTTCTTATAATAATAATATGATTATGATACCATAAATGGCATGTCTATCTCTCTCCCTCTCTCTTTATTCATATTTCTCTTGTAAATATGAAGCTTCTAGCCATATATCCCCTTACATCCACTGCCCCTTGTATGGATATCAGGCCTGCCATATCCCCTCCACCTTTCCTTCACTGCTGCAGGCTCTTCCAACGGCACTTCCCGTTGAATCTGCATTCACTACCGCTGCCTCAGATAGAACTTTCTTGCAGGCTATAAAAGCCTTCTCCCTTGCGGTCTCTGATGGCCTTCTTCCCGTCCTCTTCTCCTGCCTGGCCCCCTTATCCGCCGCCTAACCTGCAACAACTTCCTAAGTGCTTAGTCGTACCCTTTTGGTCCTATATCTTTTCCATCCTCTTGTCCTTTTCTTCCTCTTCCTCCTCTTCTCTTCTTCTTCTCAATCTTCTCCATCATCTTCTTTGGCATCTTGACTTCTATCTTTCGTCAGTGACCTGATATCTCTGCATCTCGAGACAACCTGGACACATCCACCATGGCGGGCGGTGACTCTAAAGACTCCCACATTGTCAGAGCCAACAAGAGAATTCAGGAATACCATGATGAAGGTGAGAGAATCAATGAGGCTGTGAAGGTGGGCAGAGTCATCTTTGATACCTTCAACCAGATCAGTGAGAGAAGTGGTGGCCTAGAGAAGAGCATCTGGGCCTCTGACAACCATATCTGCCCCTTGGACCAGCCTGTCCTCCAGCAAGGCAAAACCAAGCCAAAGCCACCAAAGGGCCAGGACACCCAGAGCAGCAAAGAGAAGAAGCCACAGCAGGCGAGTTATTACTATCCCATCTGCCTCTACTCCTGCTTCTATTTCTACTCTTCCCTGCTTTGCTTCTCCCTCTCTAGATGAGCCTGGCTGACCTACTTCTAGCAGACCCCCCTGAAGCAAAAGAGCAACAAACAGGAACCGAAGACCACTGCCAGCAAGCCGGAGATGGAGAACACTAAGCCTGCTATCAATTTTGATGACACCGAGGCCTTCATGGGGGCCCTCGAGAAGATTCGTCGCGGTGGCAGCGTCTTGAAGGCTGGCCAGGGTCGCGTCACCAAGCCTACTCCCATCGAAGGTAAGCAGTTGTCTGCCTATCCTATATTACACCATAGCTAACGTGTTTCCTCTGCAGCAGAAGACAAGGAGAACTACAATCCTGGCCCCTCTCCCGTTAAGGAACCTGCTGTTGAAGAGGCCAAATACCCGCCAGCTGAGGAGAGTGGCATCGTTACTCCGGAAGAAGTTCCTGAAGAAACTCCCGGAAAGGCCTCTGATGTTGCCATTGAAGAGTCCATTGCAAGTGACTCCGTTCAAGCTTCTACTTCTGGAGAAGACGAGGATCGTGAGAATTTGGTCACTTTCAAGACCTGGGGCACTCCAGCTCCGCGTGCTGCTAGCAGTAAGTCTATATCAACGCGTCTCTCAACATTTACATCCATCCACTAACATGTTTGTACATAGACGCTGCACCACGTCGTATCATCTTGACTAATATTCCAGTCTGCCTCCGTAGCCAGTCTCGCATCCTTGCTCTCATCCACGGAGGCAAGATCGAGTCTGTCTCTGTTCACCCAGCGAGCCAGTCTGCCGAAGTCCGCTTCTGCTCTGCGACTGACTGCAAGACCTTCTATGACAAGCACCCAAATGGTATTGACTTCGACTATAACGGCAGCCGTGGCACTGTTTTCGTGGACATCGGCAAGGAGGTCGACATTATTAGCTCTCGTCTTGTCGAATGCTTGGACATCGGTGCAACTCGCATCGTTCGTGCAGTCAGGGCTCCTCTCAATGTCAGCATTGCTCAGCTGGTTGAGATGATTGATACCAGAAAGTGGCACTTTGAGAAGATCATCGATTCCTATGAAGCATCAACCGTAAGTTTCAAAGCCCCTCTAAATAGAAAATTTGGTAGTCACGATATTAACTCAATTACTGTATCAGAAAATCCGCACTGTCGTGTTCAGATTCTGCTCCATTGATGCTGCTGTACGCTTCCGTTCATGCCTCATTCGCATGGATGACTGGGACCAGGCCAATATTCAGTTCGGGCCTGACCCGTAAGTTGAACACTCAGCCTCCCTATATCAAGACTAGTAGTCTAACATGTCCTGTTCTCCTCATTAGTTGCGAACTTGCTACCGGCACTCACTGGGACTAGAGGCATGCATCCCAATCTGCCTCATCATCCGCACCTTCGTGCTCTTTTGCTTTTGCCAGGATCTGCTTCAATGAAACTTTTTTCTACCAGGACTCAGTGACTACAAATGACTACGCACAGGGACAGGGGGCTTCTTTCTGGGATCCTTTTCTTTTCTTTTCTTTTTTTTTTTCCTTTGGTTTTTGCTATCAGAATGTCAGACCATGGCCTCTGGGCTCAAATATGTAGCTAGTCAAACCCCAAGGCATAGTAACATCTGATCAAATCGACATCGAAAGTATTTCCCTCATTGTTCCGGATGGCAAGCAATTCTCTGCTCGTCTCAACCATCACATATAACTCACTCACATAATGCTTTAATTGGTGCAGCTGTAGGTAAGGGGAAAAGAGGTCCCTCTCCCAGTAGTATCTTCCCCGTTTATAATTCGACATATGAAGGCACAGCAATCGGACTATGCATTGTTATATTGGTATATATTGTCCCATCCCTGGCCATGCGATTCCAATTTCATTATAGGCTGGTATTCTGGTCTTTTCAAGTGCAATCTCTTTGATCATTGGCTTCCTAGTCGGCGTTCGCTGGTGCCCTGGTTAGGTGCTTCAGGGATTGCAGAGCTGAATCCGCGTCCCCCAGGCCGAGTATGCCGGGATGGTGTATGGTAAATTGCATATGAGAGGAAGAGAAGAGGGAGGAAAAAGAAAAGGAGATAAACCTGCATGGGAACGCCCTTTGGTATACTGAACCTGATTGATTGATTGATTGCAGGGCTCCAGATGCAGGCAGAAGGGGTCAGATGTATGTAAAACTATACTACCGCTGGCCGAGGTCAACCCCATACCAGTCAAAATCCAACAAGTCCAGGAGCCAAAGTGTTATCTTGCCTCCCGCGTTTATTTCTAGACCGACACTTGCCCGTCAAAAGCGTTCTGTAGGCATATGTTAATATGATTTACTTCACCAACTGCCTATAAGAGATGAAGGTCCCGTATTCCTCGGTTTCAACTACATATATTGGCCAGCCCTCGGCTTGTCTCCCCATTCACCTTCTAACTACCGCTCTTTTTTCCCCCATGCAAGTGTAATATATGGATATGCACGGTTGACTCACCTGTTCACGGTCTTGTAAACCCAAGCTCAGAAGTCAGCCGTCAGGAAAGGTCAACAGGTTTCGTTGCAGAGGCCGCGCAAAAGCGGATTAAGGAACAGCCCTGAAAAGGACGTTGATTGACAGGCCAAATCATTCAGGCGCCATAACTAGATGAAAAAGAAAAGAGTCAGGAAGGCAGAAATATTCCGTCTGTATCAAAGCAGTTACCTAATTTAGCGCCGGGCAATGCATCATTGTCACGGACGCCGCCGGCATGACGGGTCCTCTGAGACAGTTAAGATATCGAGCAGCAGAAACGGCAACTGAGGAACTGGAACGGAGCAAGGGATGGAAATGTACCAACGAACAAGGTGAAGAGACAGTATGTTGGCTTTTTCTCATTTGTGGAAACTCCGCGCTGCGTCTGGGTTATGGATAGGGGGGACTGTGTGGCAATGTGCGTGCGGAGCTATGCAGCTGTATCTTAACCTTTATACAGGTAACTCCTGGAGATTGACTCAATTCGGCCAGCTGAAATGGTGATGCATGGCCCTTTTTCGGTGCGTACCAACAGGGCAGCTGGGCAGGGACATGGCCGTGCCGATGTATATGTTGACTTATGAACATCAACACCGCATCTATATCAGGGCACTGTAGCACTGCACCCTCCACATCCGCCATATCAATACGTGGCATAGCTTCTGTCCAGAAAAGGGGTGTGGCAGTGGATGATAGACATGATTCTGTTAAGCGGCGTAGCAAAAGTCTAAAACAATGGCATGAAGAATCAATGGTCAATCAACTCCATGCAAAAAAAAAAAGAAAAGAAAGAAAGACAAAAAAAAAAAAAAGACTGATGCATCGAGACGCGGAGAGAGGGAGACAGAGCAGCCAAACGGCACCGCATGTTTCACGCTCCCATGTCCTGCGAAGAATGCCATGGGGCTGAGATTAGCTTGCATGGGTGACGCCGGGGATTGGGCCGCAATAATGGCAAGCGCTTGGATTCATGTAGGAGTGTGTGCGTATAAATGCCTGTGGACAATGCTTCCCAAGGCAAGGCTGGCGCGTGGAGCGTGGCTGTAGTTATGTATTTTGATTGTAAATTTAAAGAGAATAAAACGAGGCTTATTTCCAGCCGGCCGCTTTCTTTCCTTCTTTCGCATGATATTCCAGTTGAACTGTGTCGGGTCTTGAGTTCATTAAACGCGGTGCAACATGTAACCTGTTAGTAAATGCATGTGGAAAAGCGCCACGGACTGGTTTCTTTTCTGTTATCCTGTTGTAGACTGGTATAGATTGTCAAGTTATTTCGGAGCTACCGGCAATCTGCTGGTAACAATCTGTTTCCCCCATGTCGTAAGTGGTACGCCGCAGCTTCAATACCGCAATATGCACTCCCCAGGTCTGTCCGGCTCTGCCTATCAGATGGAGCTCTTCAAGCCAACGAGAAGGGAGCCTTGAAGGGGCGAAAGGAAGAATGCGGGGCCTAGAAGTGCAACAACGCTTTCCTCAGCCATTTGGGCAGGCTTCTAGTTGGAGGACACCGACCCACAGGCCTCACGAAACAGCCAGAAGACAGGATGCTGAAGGGAAGTGTAGGGTAGTCTTGCGGTGGGCATAAGCCCCATGGGGGGCCCTTTCTCCTGAGCACCAAGGAAATCTCGCGGAAAGGCAAGAAGAGCCTCCTCCCCTGGAAATGTGGTAGTATTGTATGCGCCTGAGGTAGTAATCTGCATTGGCTGGCAGGGATAAAGGGTAGGGATACTTAGTTAACCAATCCAAATCTAAATGACATCCGTTTCCACACCGAAGTACCGTATCCAATACCTGATGCCCTGGACAAAAGCGTTGCATCTGGAGAAGTTCAATTCGAGGAAGAAGCTCCAGGCTTGACATTCCCTTGGCCAACATGATGGTTATCCAAGTATAAATCTAACGTGACATTCAGTAAGTACCCCTCGATTATAAAGGGGAAGAGGGGGGTAAGGGAGATTGACAGAGAGTACTGGGTAAAATATGAAATCCAACCACAGGGGAGAGCAGTCGACAGATACGAGCATCGAGCTGTTTAAACCCTGAAATAGAGTTCAAAAGAGTCACCGAGGCATGCAAGAACGTAGCGATGGTGTTCAAAAACTGTTGACCGTGGTACGTTGAATGCAGCGCGTATAGC